GTTGGAATATTTTTTTTTTTTTTTTTTTGTATGTATGTTACCGCATAACTTTGGACCGCGTCAACCGATTTCGATAATTCTTTTTGCATCGGAAAGGTAGTGTCCCATACTAATCTGGTTAAGATCCGATCAGCGGATCATGAGATATATATATATATATTTTTTTTTATATGAGGTTTTTTTTTTTTGCTAAAAATTACTTGTTTCTATAACATTATTTCCGAAAATGGTAACGAATTAATTGACAATTGTACAAAAGGTTTTTTGCGCTCCGGTACTACGCGTCATATAGCTGCAGCGTTGTCATGCGCGCCCTAGAACACACTTTTTTTTAATAATTTAAGTAGGTTCCCGATAAAAGGGCGGCATTTTTCACAGGGCACAGGGCGCCATTTTAAGTAAATCCGGTCCTGCACATTTATTCCGCAAGTTTTTTCTCAATCGAAGAATAATTTAGAAATGGGCATGGCAAAGTTAAAAATTTAGATCTTATTGTGGATTTCGGCAGAATATCTGATCCACTAACAACGTTTGTTCTGCAACTCTTTTTTGTAAGAGAACATCTTATTTTGAATATGATACAGAATAGGAGGAAGAGTTCGGGAAACAAGTAAAATAAAAAATAAATCAAGTACGTGAACAATTTTGGCCTTTATTTGTTTATTTACGCGAAAAATTACGGACATTACTCGTTTTTTGAAGTTTTCAAATAATATGTTCATTTTAGAGGCAATGGAGGTTGGCATACAGCATGTATGTGACGTCTCAAGGGTGTGCCACCAAATTAAAAAAAAAAATGGCAGCATGCAGAATATAAGTGTAGTTTTAGAAATTTTACGATTTTCTTAATTTCAATATTTTAAGATACTTCAAAGTGTTCTTGCCAAAACGACCGAATCTGGTGGAATAAAACTAGTGTGCCACCAAATGAAAAAATACAATCAATACAATTGGCGAAATTTTTTTGGTCTCGGCCCAAACCCACAACCAGCTGTAGTGCCCAATAGAAAGAAGAGAATCTCAAAAGTACAAAATGAAGGACCTTTTTCAGCAGCCCAAGGGTATACTACACTTTATGGTCTAATATTTATGATTAAGTTGAGGCCCACAAGAAGCAGTTTAAGATGCCTTCATTTTATATACACTAATAGTGGCTGGAAATCGAAAGTATGTAACTATTTATTGGCCAAATAAAAGAATTTATGGTATTTAATGGTACGCTTTTGTTGCAATCGTTTGTGCTTTTCATATTTTCATTTTTTTTATTCAACCTAATTATGCCGTCGCGTTTTAAAGGCGCCTATTAATTTCGAAAATAATGCTCATTTGTATATTTAACATGCTTGCTCAAAAAAGTACAGTAATAGCCAAGAGTTGTACATATAAGCAGTAAATAATTGGTGGCCAACATTTTGTGGTGCCAAAATCGCCAATGGCCAATCAGTGGCGCGTAGAAAAAAATGCAAAAATGTGCACGCGCATAGAATTTGGCAAAATGCCTTAATTGACGCCGCTTTTTAGCAGACAGTGAACTGAGGAGTCGTAAAATGCATTTGTTGGTTAAATACTTTACTATGTACACGTGAATGTGAATATATGTACATATGTACATACATATGTATATTTACAAGTGTTTTTGTAGGACTTTGCTCATATTAGTTTATGGATATGGTACATTAATAAAAGGGTAGTTAGTACATTTTTTTTTTGGTTTATCAGTAACGCAATTTCAGTAGGGAGTGTACTTTATGAGACCGCCTTTTAGTTCTTACCGTTTAGTTTGACCTTTTTGAAGTTATTTATATTTTGAAGAGAAAAATATTTAGTATTTTTTTGTTAAAACACAAAATAAATGTTTATCTGTACAAGCGATTCGCATTCAAAGATTTTATTCCTGGTTTCCTCCCTTAAAAAAAAAATCTAAAAATTAAGTCATTCTGCCGCAAATTTAAAAATATAATTATTCGCATATATGAAAAAATGTTCATATAATTTTTTTGGCGCAAAATGTCTCAACTCTATTTCAGTACAGAGTTAACCAGTGCTGCCGTTTTTGGGCTTCTCCATCAAATTTACTAGAATTTTTTGGTAATTTAGAATCTATTGGGCTACACTCAGAAAAAACATTCCTTGATGCTAGGAAAAAAAATATTATTCTGAGGAAATATTACCTTGGAACCGCTCCAAAGATATGGCTGCCCTAATATGAATAAACGATTTGACTGAGTTTAAGGAAAACTCAATACCTTACACAGTTTTCAGTAGTATTTTCTTTCTTCTTAGGAAAAATTAACTTGCCGTGAAAGGAATGCAGTCACAATGGCCGAAAGAGCAATGATCTACAGTACCAGTCGAGAGATGCAAGGTTCGAGTCCCAGTGCAGGATTTTTATTTTTTAATATTTTTTTTTAATTTTTGTTATTGTAATTTTTTAAGTTGTCTGTAAAAAAATTTAGCTCTTATTTTTTATGGTATTTGAGTATTCAGGTTTCTCCAGGCTCAATTGTAATTTATAAGCAAATCATGCTGAAATCAAGTAATAAAACACGGACGTGTATTCCAGTTGCCAGACGGTGGGTCAAGCAAACTCTGCAAATTAAACCCCACTGATTTTAGAAAATTTTAGTTTTAGTATTGTAAGTTTGGATCTATTAGGGTAAGAAATATGGTAGTTGCAATATTTTTTTTTAGTGGCAACACTGACTTCTACTTTTTAGGCCATTTTGATTCTACTACTTTTTCTTAGATTTCATTGTGAATTTAAAAATCTTGACTTTAAGTATTTCATGCAAGTATACCCGTTTAATTTCTTCGTGTCTCTTAAGGCAAAATAAGCCGCATACATATCAAAATGGATACGCTGTAACTTTCGGCTTTTTGTACTCATATCTTGGGCATTTTTTCGATATTATTTCCACTTTTTTTTTAATTACACTGCGGGTTTCAGAATTTATACAAAATGTATTTTGCGAGCTCTTCGTGATTTTCTAGGCTTTGCTCTGACTTTTATGTTTTCTTCACCCTTCGAATTTTTTCGAGAATTAACCGTACATTTAAATCTTAACTGCACTTTTCGTGACCGTATAGAAAAATAACAAAATATTTTCTTGAAACGGTGTCTGAATTTGTTATAACTTCTTTTAATATGTACATAGGTATACATACGTTTTTAATCAATTTATTGGCTTTTATCTACAAATGAAATTTGTTTTCATCGATAAAGAAATTTTGCACTTTTACCACAGTTTTAATAAATTTTATTCAAATTTCTTTTATTTTAATTAAAATTGTATTACTACAAATAACATATTGTTTAAATTAATTTCCCTTTATTTTATTTTAGATTTCTATATTTTATTTTATTTTATTTTATTTTATTTTATTTTATTTTATTTTATTTTATTTTATTTTATTTTATTTTATTTTATTTTATTTTATTTTATTTTATTTTATTTTATTTTATTTTATTTTATTTTATTTTATTTTATTTTATTTTATTTTATTTTATTTTATTTTATTTTATTTTATTTTATTTTATTTTATTTTATTTTATTTTA